TAATTTTTATTGGTTATTGACGTTCAACCATCAGTACAGACTCAAACATATTGAACCTCTAGTAACTATTTCTGTATAGACTCGAAGGTGCATAGTTCCTGGGCACCAAAGTTGTTGATAACGTTTTTCTGGTTGGAAGTTGGTATCCTGGGCACTTAGATACCATAACGATAATTATTTTTAATTCAGGTTCCTCCACCATTCGCAAAGCGTGGTGACCTTTAACCACCATTCTAACAACTTGATTATCGATTTGATCGACTTTCCGTGATGGCGGTGGTTTTCTTATATAATTGGTGATTGGATTTAATTGTGCAGGTCTGGATATACATAACAGAATATTCGGGGTACTGTCTTGTATAACTAAACTTGTGGATGGTAAATTATTGATATTAGATGATGGTGTTACTGTAGATTGTCTAGATATTGCACTGTAGATTGTCTAGATGTTGTTGGGTGTTTATTTCTCATCTGACGATTCAAGTTTCCTAAAGAGCCACTTTTCGTGCTCAGGTAAAGGGAGCAATGGTTACATTTTGCTCGACATTCATTTGTGCCCTCCATAAAATGAAACCAGATGCTACTTCTCTTAGTTTTTGCCGCCATTTTTAACCGAAATAATAATCTAGAAGTAAATTTTACGGAATTCGAACTACCTAATACTTATGAAGAGGCAATGAACAGTCCAAATTCTCATATATGGAAGAAAGCTGTGATTGAAGGGCTTCAGTCACATAAAAAAAAAACTTGGATACTAACTGATCGAACAGAGAAGAAACCTGTGTCTTGTAAATGGTTATTCAACATAAAGAAAAATAAAGATGGAGAAATAGAACGCTTCAAAGTACGACTGTGCACGAGGGTTCACCACACAAGTGTGACAATTGTATATTTGTGGGATATTTTAGAGATATAAATGTAATGTTAATTCTTTATGTTGATGATGGATTACTACTGGCAAAAAGTAAAGCTGTTTTATCTAAAATATTAACTATTTTCAAACAAAAGTTTGATATTAAGATTATAAATGTTAATTCATTTATTGGTATGGAAATAAATCAAGAAAAAAAAATGTATAAGCATAAGTCAAAGACAGTATGTATATTAAAACAATATTAAATAGATTTAATTTGCTAAATGCAAAAGGTGGTAATACCCCTGCTGATGTAAATGTACATTTATCTAAGAGTACAAGCAATGAGCCTATTAATTTTCCATACAGAGCTATTGTATATTTGCTTTTTTAAAACTCACCTTCAGCGCAACAACAAACTTTCTTGAAGAATAGATCGACTACCACTAACTTAATTACTTTCACTGAATATCTCACGCGTAATATGGATTCTGGAGGTGAAGTCGTCGTGGCGCAAAGGATAAGGCGCCCGGTGCATTCGTATGTGGCGACGCATCGGTGTTCGAATACCCGATATCCGATATGCCCGAAGCCCTAAGTCTTCATTTAACACCCTTTTCACCGTGGTTCTGCTTAACCCCATCTGAAGGGCCAACAGTTTCTGCTTACGTTTGGGATTTCTTTGAATTCGCGCCTTCACAGCTTTTATTACTGCTGGAGTCCTAACAGACCGAGGGCGACCACTTCTTGACCTGTCATCTACACTAGAGTCTTCATTGTATCGTTTGATGGTACGATAAACGAATCTTTTGGTTATATTAAAATTTTTCAGTATGTTAAAAATTTGAATTGGCGCGTAACCGCAACGATGCAACGCAATAACTGCAACACGGTCTTCTTTAAGCGTCCACTCCATATTTAAAAATGAGTAAAATTCTAAATGTATACTATTTTTATATTCATGAACAATTCGAAATTCGAATTCAATAAACTTTTTTGTGGCCAGCATTCTAAAAGAAAAGTTTTTACTGTGTGACAATACTTATGACCTGACTAGGTATAGAGATGCAGTATATAATAGATAGAGATGTAGAAGGCATCACATACTTTCACTCGAAGCAAGGCGCAGGATAGCTGGTTTTTTTTTGTAGCGGAGTGGCTCAGTCTTAGGTGGACTCGTTATCTTCTATCGTTGTTATGTTTAAGGATGCCTCCTAGATCCATAATGCGTGAGACCTGTCAATCATTTCGTCTCAGTACACCGAGATCAGTATTATAGACGTAATGCATAGTGTATAAAAACTGCTAAGAGCTACATGGATATAGTTAGTATAGTTAATATATACTATATATATATAGTATAGTGTAGTTATATAATATATTGTTTAGTTACATCCCCATACAGTATATACCTCTCATCTCTACTGAACACAAACGATCTCTGCTGATGTTACGCCTAGTCTGACCGCGTCACTCAAAATACATGTGGTGCGTGGCGCGCGCGACGTTGCCGCTCTTACATCGATCGACAACGCGGTAACAGAAACGGAACAGGCGCTGTACGCTCGACGCACTAACACATCGTCGGTTAAGCCTAATTCGGACTAGACTAGTATTTTAGTCGACTATCAAGTAATTTAGTGGCTAAACTACTCGCTACTGCACAGAAATCGTTCGCATAATGGTCCAGTACAGGACATAAGTGAGTGGTGTTTTGCAAGATGAACGGGCTGCAATGCAATAGTGAATAAACTGATTAAGCTATTGGTAATGGCTATTTTAGAAGAGGTGGATGAGGAAATTTCTTTGTTTAAAAAAAAAGAAGTTATGGGTACGAAAATAGAACGATGAGAGAGATAAACTAGGGGTTACTAAGTGTCTTCTGAAGGAATTAGCATTGAAAGATCCCAAAGTATACTTCGATAGTTTGAGAATGTCCTAAAGTTGTGTGAATTTTCTTTTAACGAAAGTACACTCTCAAATTCAGCGTAAAGATACCCATTTGAGAAGTGCGATTTCTGCAATTTTTTTTTATTTTTTTTTTTTATTGCCTTTGTAGGCAGACGAGCATACGGCCCACCTGATGGTAAGTGGTCACCGTCGCTCATGGACGTCAGCAATGCCAGGGGCGGAGCCAAGCCGCTGCCTAATTACAAAATTACAAGCAGTTCTATACTTTCTTGCTACTGGATGTAGCTTAAGATCACTTACAGATATATTTAGACTTGGAAAATCAACTATTTCCGAATTCATCATCGAAGTTTGTGAAGCAATCTATGAATAATTAATGGAATTTATCAAGGTAACATTAAATAACACACAACATTTATTTATTAAGGGAATATTTTTTAACATTGTTATTTTGTTTGCTCCCATCACTTTTGGTTATCAACATTAGCGTCCTGCATGCTATGGAAATTAAGTCATTTGATGTAATTGTAACCTTACTCTACGTTTCATTATGTAAACATATTTGAAGAAGACTGATAATCCACAACGTGTTCAGAATGATGTGTAGGTATAATGGACAAGAAATTACGTTCAGTTGCTTGCTATTCCAAATTATAGTTACTGGTGTCATTATAATACATTGAGGAATCGCTATATGCTGATCCAGTAGCATACGATGACTGTGGTGTTCTGATGATTCTGTTTTGTACAGACGCATTTTGAATGTGCTGACGTCGAATTCTGCAATAAGGGTGTTGGCGGTTTCAATATTCAATTAAATTTTTAAGACCTAAAAATAATGTTGTCCAAATGACTTCCCTCGGCTGCTTGGCACTCTTGGAACCGAAGTCGCCATATGAGCGTTAGCCATTTAATTCTTTAATTTCTCGAACACGCCGGCAGCAGAGGAATATGTTGTTAGCGTGCCCGTACACGGGAGCGCAGCGTGCATTTCGTGTCCGAGTGACGAACGAAAGAGGACAAGCGATGACGGTTAGAGCTAACAAGTAGTCGTAGTTCTCTTTTAATTGAATATTGAAACCACCAACAGCCTTGTGGCCCATCCTGTATTTATGTAAAGTTGAATATGCTCTTGTACTTCTAATGCAAATAGTAAGAGCAAAGATTTCAGTTTAAGACCGACGTTTTTACAGAAGACCTCAATCTCATTTTCTTCGACTGTAGAATTGGTTCTGCACATGATGCTACTATATTTAATAATTCTATTTTAAGAGGTATTATATACATTAAATTGTGTAATTACTTTGTGATTGTGTATGGATATAGTAAGTGCAGTTAAATAAACTAATCTATTTACAGCTCAGTGTGAAGCTGGGACTTTTGGGAATCGCTGGTTGCTGGCTGACAGTGCCTATCCAAACAGATGCTATATGTTGACACCAATTTTAAATCCTAGTGCTAGAAATGAATAAAAATATAATGATGCACATATTGCAACAAGAAACCTTATTGAAAGGTAAGTGTTACAGAACCAGAAGAATTGAAAATCTACAGTATGATAATATTCACTATGGATGTACCTATCACATTAGACATTATGGGTATAGCTAGTGATTTTTACTTGTATGAGTATTATACAAGTAATACACTAAACAATAATTATCTTTTACAGAACCTTCGGTGTATAGAAGCGATGTTTTTCAGTGATCTCATTATCTATGCGCTTATCACTAGAAAACATTCAGAAAGTTATAATATCTACAGCAGTTCTACACAACATCTGTAGAATTAATAATTTGCAAGAAACCCCAGCAGAGGTACTAATACCATTCCAAGCAATGGATGATGATGATCTTCAAACTATGGGAGTACAAGATAGCAGGGATAGAGCAGAATTAATAGAAGCCTATTTCTCAACTCTGTAGAGTGCAAAAGAAACTTATAAAGTTGAGAATTAACTCATTCCCGTCTTAACTTGGAAGTATTAAGATAATAAAATAAAACCTTTTTGTATGTAACTGTTATTTTGTTTTATTATAAATTAAAATACTTATCTATTATTTATATTTAGCACAAACATTGGAATAAACTTATCATCATTTTAACTGCTAACTTAATTAGGTATTTATTTATAACACAAAAAAATATAGATAATATAAGAACTGCATAAAAATACAAACAAAAATATCAACTTATAAAATAATATAAGGTTAATTTATATTCTTAAGTTGTTCAATTTCTAATTTGAATTTTTTATTTTCTAACACTATATTTTCAAATTTTGCTTCTAAAAGTTTAGTTTTTGCATTATAATAATTTGCTAATGCCTGGTTTCTGGATGCCCGGTGCTCATCAGATTTTGATTTTCTTTTGAAACCTGTAAGAATTAAAGTAAATAAAATTAGTAATTATCGCTTAACCTTCAGAATAAAGTCTCCACATGCATTTCTTTCCGTCTTAACTTGGAAGTATTAAGACAATAATAAAGTCTCCGCATGCTTTTCTGTCTATCAGTCCACAATAAACTCTAAAATCTTGCTACTACCTACAATTGATAGCAAATAAACTAGGCCACCAGCTTCGGGAAATTTATTCAATTTTATGAAAAATAAAAAATTTACAACTTGTAGTTGTAAAGAAAGAGAAATTCTAATTTTAAGTAATAACTTTTGTCCTTAATAAACTACTCCACTTTGGCAACAATAATATTATGCAAAGTGAAAATATAAAAAACTTAACAAAATAATTTACCCGCTGGCTTTGGGAGTGTGTAAAAATTTGGGGTTAGGTGGTGTGACTGAGCAAGGCCCTGTGTCTTCGACCACACACTCTTTCAACACCTCAACACCACTGTTACACTCCAACACCTCAGCACCATTATCAATTACATTATCTATAACTGCAACAACCTCCAAACCATGTTCATCACCACTGCCATTAATACTGCCGACACATGGTATTAGTTCAGCATCACCACCATATGCTACTGTGAACCCATCTACAGTAGTTCCTAATAATGCAGCCACCCTGTCCAACACATCATCAGGGGGGATGTAGGAAGGACCACCGCCACCAGTCTAAAAAAGAGAAAGATAAAATTTTAATTACAGGATTGGATATTAATTAAATATGTTCTACAGAGAACAAATTTAATATGCCATAAAGAGTTATCCTATTCTATTCTATTATATTGTACTGCAATGATGTATATTATGTAGTTAATCACACATATTGATTAGTATGGTAAATAGTTGAGTGTACAATAACTGTTGTTTGTTTATGAACCAATTATATTACGAAGATTCTTTTTTTATTGGAAAGAAGATATGTCAAAGGTGGTCCCGTGAAAAGGAAATAAGGGTTTGATGATGGCAAACCAGAGAATCTTGTTAACCTTGTCAAATGTTAAGTTCACTGTGTATCCCTTGGTAGTTAAAATAAAGAAATATGCTAACCTTTATGTTATTCATACGTATTTGTGTATTGCGTTTACGGGAATTCTTTTTAAGATTTTCCCATTTTAAACGCAACTGCTGTGGTGTCCGGTAGGATGTGGTCACCACAGCATTGAACTGGTCTCTTATGCGTTTCAACTCCTCATTTTTCAATTTGTTAGTAGTCGCATTTGTTCTTTTATTATAAATAATTTTACTACTTTCAATAAACGAAAGCAGTATTTTTGTCTCGTCCTTTGTGAGAGACTTGCTTGATGCCTGGAAATAATAAGAAATTACTACCTATGTAAAGTGTTTACACAAATTGGGCGCGAAACGAAGCGTCTTCACAGCGGGGGTTTGTTGAATAAAAATATAGAAAGTAAGAACAACGCTAAATACTTAATAATAGTATACATACCATTGCACTTACACTTTCCATGGTATTTCACTTCACTTCACTAATTTCATAATTCAATATTTTGATAATTATTTACTTGTTTAGCAACAAACCACGAACAAAAGCTCCTTCAATTTTAAACTGACTGAATCTGATGTCAAATGACACTGAGAGACGATTCGTTTCTCAGATTATGATTACGCTCCGCTACCAAAACTTGAGTATCGGGAGTATGGGTTAATGACAATTTGTTCGGAAAATGTTGAAACACGTGTTTTATTCATATAATACGTAACAAATAAATAATTCATTAGTACGTCAAAACCCAAAAGTATGCATATTTTCTTAAATTCATTAATAGGTTTACAACATAGTCATAATGATATCTGCTTGAAATGGAACGCACGGGAGGGAACTTCACAAAATAGATCGATCGGCGATTCATTTTGAAAATCGATCCATTGCTGCTATCCGTNAACACGTGTTTTATTCATATAATACGTAACAAATAAATAATTCATTAGTACGTCAAAACCCAAAAGTATGCATATTTTCTTAAATTCATTAATAGGTTTACAACATAGTCATAATGATATCTGCTTGAAATGGAACGCACGGGAGGGAACTTCACAAAATAGATCGATCGGCGATTCATTTTGAAAATCGATCCATTGCTGCTATCCGTTGTTATTGGGACGCAGATTGGAGGTCGATCGGGAGATCGTTTTCGATCTCCAATTGAACCGATCTCCCGATCGAGGATCCGATATTGGTACCGGCTGTAAGGCACCCCCTGAATCAGGAAGTTTATACTACTGTGAGGTTTATTGGGAGAAGAAGGAGGAGGAGGCGTGTGCGTTGGTTGTTTGTTGCGTGTTGTCCTCAATAAACCTCATCGGAGCGGTCAATAAAACACTGATTCTAATTGTATGTTTATTCGCCTCAGCGACCGCGGTGGATCACTGCACGTTAACCACTGACTGACTAACTGACTGTTGCTCATTACAATAAATGCATAGTAAGCTAAACGAGGCAGACAAACAAAAGACAAACAGTATTGTCCTAATGGCTGTTGTAGATCATAAATATTGCTTTAGTTATATAGACGTTGGCTGCAATGAAAGGGTTTCTGATGGAGGCGTATTTCGTAACTGTAGTTTGCACCAAGAATCAGAAAACGGTGTTCTACCAGAGGGTCATCTCCTAGTTGGCGAAAATGCATTTATGCACGAAATATCATATTGTTTCTCTGTCAAGGCTGCCTTTTCGACTGTACAACACATGCGCGGGCGTTCCAGCACATGTCGTGGCCTAACGGATAAGACGTCCGGTGCATTCGTGTTGAGCGATGCACCGGTATTCGAATCTCAGGCGGGTACCAATTTTTCTAATGAAATACGTACACAACAAATGTTCACGATTGATTTCCACAGTTAAGGAATAACATCGTGTAATAAAAATGAAACCTGCAAAATTATAATTTGCGTAATTACTGATGGTGACCTCTTGTGAGTCCGCGCGGGTAGGTACCACCGCCCTGCCTATTTCTGCCGTGAAGCAGTAATGCGTTTCGGTTTGAAGGGTGGGGCAGCCGTTGTAACTATACTTGAGACCTTAGAACTTATATCTCAAGGTGGATGGCGCATTTACGTTGTAGATGTCTATGGGCTCCAGTAACCACTTAATACCATGTGGGCTGTGAGCTCGTCCACCTATCTAAGCAATAAAAAAAATTAATAATAATTCAAATTAAAAAAAGGAACAAGACTTTCATTTACATATGCTATATTAAAAACGATGCTCGTTCGTACGATTTTAATTGAACAACGAAATATACAAAAAAAGAACAGAATTATAATGAAATGAACATTTACATTAATAAGAATATATCTGAAATATTTATTTATTTAATTTAACATAAATAAATTCATACAGTGGAACAAATCTTCCAATACGCTTGAAGGAGGCACAGTTCCGTTGGGCATCCAGAATCACTCTGTGCAAAGTACCTTTTTTTTTAGAATTACGTGTAGCTTTCTTCAGGCGTTTGGAGATTTTTGATAAAAATTTGTTTGCTTCAGGGCCCCAATGGCCCATCGTCTCAACCGCGAAAGGCGAAATTTCTGCTGAAGCTGCAGCTGAACCAGGGCGAGAGGAAGTACCATCTAAATGACAGGGAACATAGTATCCACACAAGTAACATCACATACTAGGCACCTACCAACTGATCATGAAATTAGAGTGACTCCATCGGGCCTTTTCCCATCTGAACTCAAAATTCCGATGGGTTCCAAGACAGCCGGTATATGGACTGTAGTGAGCGCCCTTCTTACCACATTATTTAAAGACGCATGTCTTGGAATACGCCCAGCGCTTTGCTGGCACGAGAGTCCGTGATGTCTAAGCTCATTGACGTATTCGCCACAGACAGAGATGTCGTACTTTAATATGGGCCCCCAATCGTAAGCCGATAGCCAGCGAGAAAGTGTTATTGTCCAACAAAGTGCCGGTATTGGATGATAGATAGGCTTGGAGCCAGTAACTCGATTCCTTTTCGGTAACTGTCTGAAAACGAGCAATGTCCACGCTGTTATCATATGACTGTAGCAACTGTTGCGTATATGTTGACAAACGGGAGTGTCCAAATGCGGTGAAGTAGGATAATCCGCCTGACACGAAGATTGCCAGGTCGATCCAGACTCCGACACACCCATAATCTCAACGAAACCCATACGAAAAAGTAAAAATGTAAAACTTTTAATAAATTGAGAAAGTCGCACCCATTTTTAGATGAAAGGGATGTGTTAAGAGTAGGTAGAATATGTAATGCTAGTTTAGATTTTGATATCAAACATCCTGTGTTTCTAAAAAATACATAAGAAGAAAGGACATTGTCAGGGTTAATCAGAGGAATATTCATTATTTTTTTATCTAAATGGGATCTGATTGTGACCAATCAGCTTTGTGAGAGGTGGAAGGGAAGCAATAGGAATAGAATTAAGGGAATCAATTGACACGAATTGACAAGAATTGGTCACTACCGCCAGTGGAAGAAAGGACAGACCAGGAGAGGTGAAGTTAAAGAAAGCAGTCTTTGGATTCTGAGATGGAGGAACTCTGCGAGTAGGGGTCCCGTCATTCAATAAACACAAATCTAGTTTATCACAGAGATCAAGAAAAAGAAAAGAAATAGTATCACAGTAATAACAACCCCTAGATGTATAGTGAATATTAAAATCTCTAAAGATAAGGATAGGTGGAGGAAGACTTGTAATAATAGTTTTTAATTCAGAGAGAAGAGCTAGGTTAGGTTCAGGGATATAGATGGAGAGGAAAGAAATATTATGAACTCTAAAAGCAACAGCAAAATTGCTATTACTGTGGGAAGGAAGGGATATTTGTTTAAATATCACATTTCTAGATACTAAAATCTGACTTTTCGTCCCGGAGACAAGAGAAACCTGGGATCCTAGTTAGATCTGGGCTTAAGCCATGTCTCCTGGACAGCAAAAATAGAAGGTTTGTATTTATTAATAAGAATGATGTCATCATTCTTCTTGTGACAAATGCTGTGACAATTCCATAATTTGTGCATTTTTAATAGTTTTATAAACCTCAGTAAGTTTATAGATGAGATTTTCCGGCAGTTCAAAGTCTCCAAAGCAGGGAAATATATTTAAAATTGTAGAAAGTAAGAGTTCCAGGAGATTATCATTGGCAGATACACCATCTGAAGGAGAGGCACTCCCATTAGGGAGACTAGAACGGGGAGCACTAATGATAGCTTGATGAGCTTGCCTATCATAACGTGAACTGGATGCCGGAGGTGGAGGAGATTTTTGGGTAATACAGGGTGGCCCATAAGTCCTTTGATATGAAAAAAAATTTATTAAAATAAAACTAATTACATTATGAATTAAATTTTTATTTACATAAAAAGCTTAAAAAACGGGAATTATTTTTTGAAAATAACATCTCCTAAATGTAATCCGTTGCGATCACGGCACTCTTGCAAACGACGTCTAAAATTGTCGATGACTGCGCGGCACGTCACTGCTGAAATGCTTGTCATTTCTCTGCGGATGTTTTCTTTTAGGGCCTCAATTGACCGCGGGTTTGTGTCGTACACTTTAGCCTTAAGGTAGCCCCACAAAAAAAAATCCATCGGGGTCAGATCTGGACTACGTGGAGGCCAGGAAATGTCTCCTCTCTTAGAGATAACTTTGCCAGGAAAAAGTTGACGGATAACGGGCATAGCAGTGTTAGAGGTGTGAGAAGTGGCCCCATCCTGTTGAAACCACGTCCTGGCATTAAAGCCTGAAAAGTTTTGCAATTCTGGTATGAAAAACTCTTCGATCATAGCCACATATCGCTCCGACGTAACAGTAACTGCGCGCCCTCTGCCATCCTCAAAGAAGTAAGGCCCTAGGATACCATGGGCTGACATAGCGGCCCAAACAGTCACTTTCGGACTATGTAAGGGCTTCTGATGCTTAAGTTTTGGATTGATGGGGCTCCAATAGCGGCAATTTTGTTTACTAACATGCCCGTTAAGATGGAAATGAGCCTCGTCAGAGA